TCCTCCTGAGCTTCTTCAGCGGTCATTTCTCCAACAAGCTCGTTGTACTTGGCAATATCACGCGCAAGAGTTCGGATGAGAATCATAGCCACCATACCAGACAAGAACAACGCGATAAGCACCGAGTTGATGATGCTGAACCAGTGTATTTGGCCCGACCCTGGGGACATTTGAAGGTAGATGTCCCAGCGTGTCACCCATTCCTTATCGGGGTTCTCAGTCCATTCCACATCATAGGTGTATCTGATTATTCAGTGGAGTTTCATGACCGTGATATGGAAAACATATTTCACGACTACTGCATATCACCGCGAATATCCGGTTTTTCACAGAGTACTACGCCATTCCACGTAAAACGGGTGGTGAAACCCCAGTGGGAGAATATACGTTTGGCTCCCTCAACTGAGCTCGTACGTTTCTTCACTACATTATGAAAATTCACACACGGTTTTGAGGAGAAGTATACAAAAACCAATGATGATTTTACAAAACAACCTCGGAATTTCTATATTGTTACCAACAAATGCAGTTGAGCATGTGTAGTTGATCGCATCCTACGTGATAGTCTCTGCCTTGTCGAGGTCAAGAGGCTCCAAAGAGGCTCCTTCGCTTTGGCAAACAGCCGAGTCACCACCATCCCTCACAAACTGCTTCAAACTGCTTGGTTCAATCTCAAACCCCACCACTCGGTAAAGCGAGACCCCGCTGTCGTCAGCGTCCTCGGGACGATGATACTCCAACTTGAATTTCAAATGATTGTGCAGAAAATACTGATCTTTCTGAAATCACAGCAACCTTGAGTATTGGCGAGCAGCTACCTACTACTACTACTACTACTACTACTACTACTACTACTACTACTACTACTACTACTACTACTACTACTACCAGTTGAACTCCCAGAGGGAACCCACTCATGACAAATACTTGATTCTTCTCACCTGAGATGCAAAACTCCCACATCATGCACTTAGCAATATTTAATTACCATCATCAGCATCTTTAGCCTCCTTCTGGGGATCTCTAACCATAAACTTCACGGCGCCAGGGAGACGTCCACATTCATATTCACAGTATACCTAAAGCCTCA